GACCCCGTGACCCGCGGTATTTTGTAACAAAGTTTCGCGAATGTATGCCCCTTCGAAGGAGGCTGATTTTCACAAGTTCGAACGTATACAACGTTCATAAATCCAAATAAGAATTATTTATAGAAGTCGTCGGATTCCGCAAGCGAAATGCTCTCGAGACCCAACTTTCTTCGACAGCCTAGCAAAGTTGATGCGCGGGGAAATATCTGCGAGTTTGCACAAGGTATTATTTCTCTCGAATTGGTGAAAGATCAGCGTATACGTAGCACAAGTTAAAATTGAATTCGAGGGAGAAGGGGCGCGCTTCGAATAAAAAACAATAACCGTATTGTTTTCTTTTCATTCTTATGCTTATTGCCTTGGCAATTTCTCCGCAAGTGCGCTCAATTCAACATCATGTCGACGATTGCAAGGCAGAAAATCTGTTAGTCTACACACTTGAGAAAATAACGTTTCAAAACGCTGTAAAATTCTCTTCTCGAATCCGTTCATCGTATATTTATTTGAAAGCCATCGCGATATTTAACTACTTTTTTTTAGCTCATTATCTACGAATTTAATAAGTTTAATTAAAAAAAACATCTTTCTCGATTCAGGAACGATTTTGACTAGAAACTAACATCATGGAACGTTCCATTGAGTAGACTAATGCGAGTTCTGCGACGCGGGGGAGGAAGTTGTCGGAAAGAAGATTAATAAATGATGTCTGCCGAAAGGAGAAAACTCCAAGCCGGTCGTTTCTTTTCATAGGAAGCATGATTTCTGACGACGGGAGTTGGAGAAGACTGGAGTTTGAGAGGATTGAAGTTGGTTGGGATCCAATTCACAGTTCAAAGGCCTCCTCGGCATTGGCCTTTCAATCATGGAAAAATGGCGAAAACAAATTTATATCCATAAAAATATTTTCCCGTCAACGGCGCGACCTCCATCTACCTATATATTTTTTTTTCACGTCGTAAATCGTAAAGTCCGCGACAGCAGGACGATAAAATGGATAAGGAAATGAGCGCGACGGAGAAATGTCTTTACAGTAATTCGTTACTGGGATGATTGCTCTGTTTACACAACTTGTGAGTGTGCATTTCCGCAGCGCCGGCGTAATTACGCGAATGACTCAATCTCCGTCAACAAACTTGAAAATTTTCCCGAGAATCCCCGGGATGAAGGTGTAATCATAAAGAAAAGCTACTTTCGGAAAGATCTTCGTTATGCATTTGGAAGCATTGCGACTGATCCGCGCTGGCTTTTTCCATCGCGATTAATATTTTTCCTTTATACGAAGATCTCAATAAGCTCTGACATTTCAAGATCTCACACTAAGAAAAATTGTTTGATTGTATCAACAAGACGTATATGATTGAAGGCATTTTGGTTAAATCAAACAAGAATTTCTAATTATGATAAGACTCGATTTTTTTATAACTAGAACGTTTAATAGATTTTATTATAAGGATTTGGTTAATATTTTCTGGTTGAATCTAAAAAATTTCTTGTTGCATTAACTTTGCTTGCTGCTAGGCGGCGAGCCATTCTTAACTTTACTCGTATTCAATATTTGCCATGAAATGTATATAAAGAACTAGTATTAACATTAAATCCAGAGTATATTTTTTTTTCTTACGAGCAGTAGTGCCAGAAACAGGACGCTAGCTCTCTGATTATGTGTGTTTGAGCTGCATCCTCTTCTTGCATCACTGCTTATCAATTTCTAACAAACTGAACTTAAAATAATTTATTCAATAATCTGGATTGAATTTATGCAATAATCGCGTTGGCATACAGAATATTAAACAGACTTTTGAGATTAGATGGAAAAAATTTTAGACGACTTGTGCTGGCGAGTTTAGTATTATTAACCAGAAAATTTAACAGGAAGAAATTAATCAGATTCATCTGGTAATTCCTACAAGAATTCTGGTTCGTTCATTTTCCAACAGACATACTGGTTGAATCTACCAGAATTCTAATTAATGCAATCAGATTTTTTTCTCAGTGCATGCTTGGATAACAATGTTTGTCGGAAGATTGCGTATATAAGTTGCGTTCCAATTAAAATGATGATAAATAATGATTTTCCGATGCCCGTTATTCAATTTGAAATTTCAATTTCAATTTTAAAATTCACGACATCTCCCTCAAGATGTCTGTTACGTCACCGGACGATTACTCAGAATCGGCGAATGGTCGCGCGCTGAGAAGTGGCATATGGTACTCGGAGAATTCTGTCGAATTCTACGGATTTTCGAGGCGGCGCATTCTCCGCGAGGTAACAGTATGAGAATATGTTACGTGTACACGAGTGCCTTAGCTCCCGCTGCGGCTTCCACCACCGGTCCGGACAACGCCTTAGCCCTTAAGCCAGACGAGGATCGGATCGCCCCCGTAGGAATGCGCCGAGCAAATAGTCAAAATAGCTGTCGAGCTTGGCGAGCCTATGTATCTTCGCGTGTGTCGACACACATGTTCCAAGTGCTTACGTTTCGACATATGACGCGTTTGTCATCAGCATTAAGGATCAGCCCAAACGTGACGATGGCGCGTGGATATATCAAGAGAATAGATCTCGCTATATTTACGTCCACTCCTGGGTTCGTTCATCTTGGTAAGAGATCAGCTCTAGCCAACTTGGAGAATCTCACGTTTTTACATACGTCGTAAGGAAGACTCGCCATGTGTCAAAATAGATGCACGATTGTCTTTGATAATTTGGGCAAAGCAGACTCGACCTAGAATCATGTCACATAATCTAATGGTTTAGATTGTTCGTGAAACGAGCCCGAGGTAAGAAGCTTATTCTGGAAATGCGTACAAAGTGGCAAAACAGGACGTAGTGTCCTGATCGATACCGTTGGCTTAAGTGCAAGCGCTGTAGATTGAAAACGAGAATTTTCGTCGCTGAGACACGATTACGACCATCTCCGCGGGATTCGAACCTGGGAGGCAATTATCCGCGTTAATAACTATTTATGATTACGAGCGCGCGCATAATTACGTTCGTAAAATCGTTGGACGTGCCTGACGAGTGTCCGCGGACGTGTGCGTATTTAATGAGCGCTCGTCTTCGTCTGAAAGGATTCGCGGACTTCATAAAAATCTCCGGTTGAACGCTCGATTTTACAGCCGCTAGCGTGTTTTTCTCCTTCGTCAGGGAATCTACCAGAGTGAAATCGATGGTAATTATTTGCTCAGCAAACAGCATTTCACGCGACACTACTTTCGGTAAAAAACATCACGCGAATCGTTAATTGAATGGTGACGGACGCCGTTTACTCTTTGACGCGACGAGCAGTTCTGTCAATTTTTTAATGAAATGCGCGCGCATTCGGGATTCTCTCCCGAATACGAATGAAAATTATCGTACACAAACAAACGTATAATAACGCTTATCTGTTTATGCGCTATTGAAATTTGGCAATTCAACCGTTACGTCGGATTGCATTTGGATGAAAATCAATTTTTTAACGACAGTCTGTCCATCTTCTTGCAATAATACAAATGTAAATTTATTTCGACCATTCGCGGCAATAATTTAAACGCAATCTCATAAAGATGAAAGTTCCAAATAAATGGAGCGAATTTAGGAATCCGCAGAATTCTACGTTTTGCAAATGTGCTCGCGGGGTATAAAAAAGTTGAGAATTTGGCTAATTTTGTAGAATGATTATGGCCACTGTGGCCATACAGAAGGGCGTCCTTCATCTCGGGAAGCGAGCTCGGTTGTACTTATGTAACGACGTCATTTGTGAACGGGCGAGCGATCATGAATCTCCCGTCACCTGACGCACGAGGTCAGCGTATTCGTCGTCGTTTCCGCCTCGATTTCTCTCGCTGTTTTTATTTAACCGGCGATCTATCTCACCCGCGATGGAACTCGGAAACGAATGACGACTCCTATCGCAATCCATTTATTTCCTCAACGATATTCGGTCAACTAGTTTCCCCTCACTTCTTTCTCCCGACGCGATGCGCCCAAACTCGCAAGAACGAGAGTAAACTTTGTTAAGGTAAACTTTTCGACCTTGATTTGACTCTCTCTCTCTCTCTGCGGGATCTCCAAACTTTTGTGCAACTCTCTGCGCTTCAACATAAATTACTCACCTGTGCAATTTTACGAAGAGAAGAAAGAAGTAATTAACGGTGATTACGCCCGTAATATACTCGCCGATCGTTTTTGCGAGAAAGAAACGCGCGGACAAGCGAGTTAATTCGACATACTGCGAGAAAGGCTTTGGTGGTTTGAGCGCCCTTACTCTTTCTCTCTTTTTCCACGAACTGTAATTAACAAAATTGTGTAAACTGTTCTCCGTGCACGTACTGGCAGGGCGTTAAAACCTACTTCGAATAAAAACGCGGACCCAATTTTACGTACGTGAAATAGCATACCACAATGGCACGAAACGTTAACACGTAGCTTCTTCGCACTAGTGTGCGCAAACATTTGTGCCCCGGGCAATATTGCCGGAATACCAATAGAAAAATGCGCACAATAGCATACTTCTTATACTAGATTTACACATAAATTGATTTAGGGGACAAAAAATACACGCGGAGATACCTCTCTGGAATAAACTTTAAAATATTCCTGTATAAAATTTTTTTTATATAAACGCGTCACTCATCCTTCAACTTTTAATTCCACGTTTAATCCAAACGTTATATATATATATATATATATATATATATATATATATATAGATTGATATCGATTATTCCATATAACGCTTCTATATCGGGTTTGCCCAAGAAGCGCGATTCGGCCGGTTCGTTTCGAGAGCAAAATGGCAGTGATTCCGATAGCGCCGGTGAGTAAAGGCGAGCCAAAAATAGCGACACGTTTTCGGACGCATTGTCCGCTGATACAATTGTATCGTTACACGCGCGAGCGATGCTGCAACTTGTATCGAAATACGAGGGAAATGGGAAAAAAAATCTCCGCGCCGAGTAACCAACACACGCTCCTCTCCTTTTTATTTCGCCGACAAGTTTAGCGATGTGTCTACTCACCTACCCCTCGCCGCCACCTTCCGATCCCACCCCCCGTCGAAATCGAACGGAAGTGAACCGTGGCGTCTCGAATTCGACACGTACAATCGGGAAAACAATTTTCTCAGCTCTTTCTTACCTGTAACATAAGAAAAGGCGACTTGTTATTTCTGCTCGGTTTAAATCGGCACGGGATATTATCGTGAATCGCGCGTGCGTATGATTTACATGAGGCACGACACCGCATCGAAAAGAAACTTTTAATGACGCGCTCGTGTCGTTAAGGCAACTTTTAACATGAAGGATAACGGAAGTGCCGGCCTACTTGAAAAGTTCAACGACTCGTTAAGTGTCCCGGAAGCCGTTGGCTTAAACAAATATAATCGCAAATTGCGCATATATTATGATTAATTAATCCCCCTTTGTTTCTCATTTATTATAATATGATGTAAATATGATGCACTTGTTTGAAGAGCGTATCTCGCTAACCCGAGTTAATTTTGAAAACGCATCTTTTTACATCTCATGAATAGATGCGATATATATATCGATTTCTCTCCTTCGTTCTTACGTCTCGTATTTGAAAAAAAAAAAAATCCTCGAACCTCATCATTTTCAAGATAAACAGCACATATGTTACGATAATGGCCATCTCATCGTAAGCTTCCACGTCGAGATTTATCGCTGCGAAAGATCTACTCTACCTTACTACATTTACCGGTGAGAAGTCTATCGTTTTTTGTGCGGTTGGGCCCTGCGGGCTCTGCCGGGACGCGGGGGTTTGATTCGACCAGAGCAGCTTTTACGAGCACTAATATTTCTTTCGGATGAGAACGAGGGGGAAAACGACGAACGAGCGTAAAACGTCGAGCGATTCCGTTGCATCGATGCAATTGCACAGCCCAATGGCCGAGAGGGAATAAGAGAAAACATAAAAACAGAATGCATATATTGCAGCTGCATCGCACGGAAGTGCCATTTTCGCGTATTTCGGTATTTGTGAGGCATAAACGGGTCACGTGACCTCTTCTTACCGATCGTCACGAATCGTAAAACCGCGATATTGTCTCTTCATCATCGCCTCTACCTACCTCACGTGCTGCGGCGTGACATTTCACAGGGAAATTCTACGCGAAAGTCCGATATCTTCTCTGGTAAAGTTTCGTTTCCCTCGGTCTCTCTCTCTCTCTCTCTCTCTCTCTCTCTCTCTCTCTCTCTCTCTCTCTCTCTCTCTCTCTCTCTTTAAACTATGGTTTAAGTTAAACCATTTTGTACAGCTGTTTCAACGTATCAAGTATTTAAATATAAATGCAAAACTAGAGAAATGCACTTTTTAAAGAAACATCGTTATATTTAGTAAACTCGAGTGGATACACTAGCATATATAAAATATAAATAATATATATATAATAGATAAATATATATACAGGGGCTGTTAAATATATAAAAATTTATAATATAGTAAGTATAACTAAAATAGACAATAAAATAATTAAAATTCTAAAATATTATTATCGTTATTTAATACAAAGAATGATGCACACGTTGTAACTTGTAATATCAACTGTCTTATTATTTTAATTATTATATTATATATATAAATTTATTTATTTACTTCTACAATATTTTTTAAGGTGTATCAGTGCATATGGAATTTGTTATATGATTTCTACTAAATTGCAAAGCGTATATTTTTTTAAAATCGTTAACGAAATACTCGAACATAGCAAGAAAAATATGATTGTATTTATATGCCATTCGCGATGGAATCAAGGACCATATAATATTTTCGATTAATATAATATGTTAGCGCATCCATCCAACGTATCACCGCAGATATAACAATTTTATTCTCATTAGCTACAATAATACCGCGCGTTTATTTGCACGTGTGCGTGCATAATTCGCTGCTGGTATTATGAGTCGAGCATGAGAATGCGCGATCACGGATCCAATCATCGAGAGGCACGACTGTTTCCTAATTAATTATTGTCGAGGTTGCACCGTTTTCCATTTTCTGAATTAGAACGTGTTTGCGATTATTATTCTTGATGGAAAAAATGCATTTATGTATCGACGTTAAATAAAGCTATAATAATATAACACAATATAATGCATACAATGAATTATTTAGAATAATTTTATTACATAATTTAGAATAATTTATTTTAATTTAAAATAATTTTCAATCATTATGGAGAAACAGAAATCGAATTGTAAGCCATATTTGTTTATCTCTCGAAATTATTTGAAACGTTTTTAAAATTCTGTACATGTTCATCGTCAATCATGTTTTCCTATACAATATTTAAAGTATCTTTCTGGGAAAATCTGTTATGTTAGAAAATATTTAAAAATCAATTTCGATCATTATATCCGACGTCGCCGGTCAAGATGTCGGACGGAGCAGCGCTAATTAATGGCCAAAGTGTTGCCGTCGCTTGTTACGCGAAAAAGGTAAGGACCGAAGGTGCTGTGGGAACGATCGCAGTTGCTGAACTTTAAGCTAATCACATTGCATAGTTTGCGGTCCAATGGCGGGATCGAACACCGCGCTACGTCCGAACTGTCGGACAAACTTCCTGACCGAACAGAAAAGTCCCGAAGGTGCCACCGGGCGGTGATTCCGCACTGGCTGCTCCCGATCGATATCCGAAGACAATCTCGGACTTTCGGGCGTTAAGCCCGAAATGTTAAGTACTCTCTAAGCCGCGCTTGCAAACACCGTTCATGCTAGACACAAGTTTCCGAACTGAGGCCGGTAAATTCTCGTCGTCGAACGTGATTCTTGTTACCATTTAGCACGTCGTGCTACTTTTCTTCGCTACTTTCTCGATAACAACGGACAGAATGACAAAAATGCGCGCTTTGTTCTCTCCAATTTCCTACAGTGAGGAAAAAATTATAAACTTGACTAAATATTTTATTATTTTTTTTTAATTGAAATATTTCAGTTAAATATTTAAATTAAAAAAATAATAACTAGTTGAAAATATTTAGTCAAGTTTATAATTTTTTTTTCTCAGTGTATTAATAAAAGTTTTCCCTTCCCTTCGACACAAAAAATTTTACATAATTTATATATTATATGAAATATGAAATGAATGCGCGTATCGAATCGAATGACAGATCGATCATGTAAATGACTAAAAAACTCCGAAATATTCCAATGATCAAAGTGCATTTCACGAATATTTCGCAAAGTTGATATTAAATATTATTATCATTAAATATGTTTTTTTTATTACGCGCTTTCATGGAAAAATACCATTTATTCTTTTAAAAGCTCACATTGATTAGTGATTATTCGCATTAAAAAATTTTCGATTTGCTGAAAGCTTGCCTGGTAATAGTTTGTTTCGCGAGCATTAATGTCGAACTATTATCGCCAAGTGTAGGCTTTATTATACAGTCATCACCCATCACGAGAGAGCCAGAGATGATTTCGCCGATTAGGCTCACAATTTGCCGAACGACAGATCTAACGATCTCATCTAATGCCTCGGCAAACGAGCGCAAGGGTACAAATTAAATACAATCGCGTTCACACATCAGACTGATTGTGAGAATATCGACCTCCCGATGAAGAAGATGAGAGTAGAACCAAATACACATGGCATATTTTTACAAATATTTAAACGAAAGCATATTCTTAATCCTAGGATTAAAAATATTTATAATTGCTTCTATTTTATTATATTAATATATATAAATTAAATCTGAATAAAATGTATTAAATTTAGGGATTACCATGTGTGTGTAAAAATAATATTTTTGATTCGTTGCGATTACAATTTTCTAATTAAAAAAAATTAAAAGCAGGATTATATGTATATATTTTTTTTTATAAAAAAATTTTTATATTCTCTTTATTTCTCTTTATATATTGTATGTTATTTTCATCTTTATTAGTAGTGAACACAGGATATTAAGAGTTATCACTCAACATCTCATATGAGTTGCATTTTACCGCGCTTCATCATATTTTGTTTTACGCACCGGCTTTCACATTCCATTTGCTTTGAATTATACGGTGACGTTTCGATTTTTCCATTGATTTTGCGAATTGAAAAACAGCACGATCGCGATTAACTCGTTTATATCATTGATGAGCATCCATCACTTGACGGCGCGAATTCATATCTTTCATATCGACGATTCCTATCTTTGCGGCGTTTGATTTCCGACTTATGCACTGCTGTAATAAAACCGCGGTTACGCGGTTACATAATTTATCAATTTTTTTTTCCGCAAAATTCGATCTCATCAAAATGTAACGAAATCGCTCCGCTTCTATCCAACGTAGTATCGATCGAATAGGCTCGAATGCGGTTTAAATCACGGCGGAATTTTTCAATTTACGTGGAAAACGTGGGGGGAGGGACGAAAATTCGATTGCTCGCAATCACCCTCGCGTCGTGATACACGCGCTATCGAATCGCGTCGCAAGCCAGTAAATTCTGTGACGCGATACCCGCCGTCCGAAGGATACGAGGAGCTACAACAGACTTCCGAGTCGATTCACGGGACATTGATGATCGCGATGCGCGCGATCGACGTGGAACGTGCGTCCAGGAAAACTGCGTAGAACGTGCGTGCGTCGGGAAAAAGAGAGAGAGAGAGAGAGAGAGAAAAAAAAAAGCATGCCAACGAAATACGCGAGAGAGGCTTTTAGCCATGGCATGAATGCATGCATTGAAACGAATGGCTTTCACGGCGCGCGACGCTATCATCTGCAGATGATATATAACCCTCCGGGACTTTTGAACACTGCGGACTTTTCTCACGTGTTCATGCGCCAATGCGGGGGGCAGGGAGGAAGGGACGAAGAGAGAATAGTCGCCCCGTTCGCGCTTATTTCAACAATTGCGTGCTTGATATTCGCTCGGTTCCGCATCACCTTCAATTTTCCCGTTTTCATATAATTAATTTCTTTTTAATTAATTAAAACGTGGAATTATCATCGTGCTCGATAATGATACACGTTGAAGCTCTCGTTAACGTTTAAATTAATTCACGCAATGATGCGAGAACGTTTATACGCGCGTTTCGCGCTTATACAGATATCAACACGTTGAAGAGTGACAGGTGGAAAAGTCGTAAAGTCGCGGGGATTTGGAGACGAAGCGGCAAAGCGGT